GCTGGTAATATGGCAAGCGATTCCTATTATTGATGGGTTGAACAACTGTTTCTGAAAAAAAAAGAAGTGAGTGCTGTTAAAACTTGTAGAAAACGCTTTGACAATTCCTTCCTCTCCGCCAGATCTCCACGATGTCTAGGGAAGTACTGCAATGGTACTGAAAAATATTACATTCTACGTACCTCTAAACCATGTGGCAGGAGCATCAAATGCCTTGTGAGCATAGTATCTCATTCGCGGGAAGATTGTTCCGCGAGAGTCGAGGTCACGTAGCTGCCAGTAGGCATCCCACGCAGCTTTGTCTTCAGCCTGGCGTTGCTCTACCAGACTGCTGGATACCATCCCTCCCCTTGATAAAGCATTCAAATGCGAAACAAATTATTGAAATTTCAAATCACCTGCAAAAATTTTGAAATGAAGGAAGAGTATCGCGAACCTGACGCCGTTAGCAAAACTCGCGATGGAATTTGAAATTTTTTAACAGGAACAATTAACAATATTAGGTGAAACTGTAAAAAAAAATGGGAAATGAAGAAATGGTCCAATGGTCAGGTTATAGCAGAAAAATGGATAACCTAATACAGTTCTAAACACCACAAGAGAGTACCTAGAGAAAACCAATCACACAAGCTATATAATTTCAGATTAGAAAATGGGTAATAATGCATACACTTGCGAGATTTTGGAACAAACCCGTATACAGTGAAGAGTAGGCCATTTTAATTAGTCTCCATGTTATCTCCTTCTTGCATTGCACCAACAGTTGGAAATCCTTTTGATTTTCGAATTTCATCTTCAACGTACGCTGGTATGTCGCTTTCCAAAACATACTCCGACCATTTGACTCAACTTGTAAATCGTGATAGATCCTGACACATAAGTTTACGTTACATTCATGGTCACTGTGAATATAAAAGATCAAAGAATAGAACATGAGTAATATGATTGCAGTGTGAAAGCATCAAGTTATACGAGTACGGCTCCTTTTAGCCATACTCGGCCATTTAGTCCGACAGTAATTTCAAACTTGTAATCCTTCCCCAAAAGTTTTAACAATTGTGAATGACTTGATAGAAGCCTCCGCGCCAGATTGCAAGACACCTGAAGCAGATGGTAGTAATAACCGCAGCAGCAGATTCCTTTGAAATGCAAACAGTTCTGGTGCCAACTCAATTACTCTACACTTGCAAAGACTTCATTAGTAAATTAGGATCAGAATCCTTTTCTGTAGCCAAATTCAATCTTTACATTCAAGGTCGCGCGGCGTTTCCTTCAAATTCACTATCTGACATTGAATACCTCTTCATTTGCGGAACGTACATCTCTTCAGAGAAAATGTAAATTGTAAAAAGACAGGGTATGATCGCTAGGATTCGTACTAGAGGTATACCGCACTGATTGCAATTTGGACCGGTATGCATGTATGTGTTGAGGAAATGAGCTTACTTATTATTGACCAGATTAGTCCCGTCAACCGCCGGGACCTTCCTTTCCTGCGCAAGCTTTCTATCCTCCGCTATGGTCTCTTCCTCCTGTGACACCAACACCTGGAAGTGACGCGTATGCAACACAATGGTGTTTCATACAGTAGAAGGGACACAATCATGATATGACGGTAGATTTTTCGCTTCCTCCTCTCTCCCACTGCCCTCCAGCTGCCACTGCAGCACCATGTGGAATGAACGGAAGTGTGCTAAGCAGGTGTTTATATAGCCCTAAGAGTGTTATCACAACTATCCTGCTACAAAACATTGATATCTCAAATCCTGTAGCATAATAAACGAAAATAAACAAAACAAAATCGAAAATCCTGTAAGCTACCCGATTTGTTAGCGGTTTGTTTATCCCATGAGCTTCCTTCTCACTCACTTCATTTTGCGGACGGACACACATACATACATACATACACACACACACACACATACAGATACACAAACCGACACACAAAGTTAGCGCTTTATAAAATAGAAGGATACTTATCGCACTATGCTCCTGCTCTCACGTTCGATCTTGTTCTAAGGAGTATAACCAAGCTAAACATTGTTGAGAAATGTGCCAGAAGAAGCGGCAAATATGGAAATTTGAGATACTTAAAGATACTACCCAAATTGGATTATATGAATTTGAAGCAAACTAACGACTCAAGCAATTACTTTGAACAAAAAGCCGCCAGATAGAACTCCTAATCCTCGTGCTCTTGAAACTGCATCGACACATGTCAGCTCCACATCTGCATGAGCGAATTCGTCCATAACCTGAATTTGGAAGATTTCACATGAAATAAACTTAGAGGGCACTATTTCAAATCACATCAGTTTTCAGTGATTTTTGGTTCATAGGGGCACACAAAGTTCAAAGAACCACAATTTGTGAAACTGAAAAAATTTTGTACTTCTTAACAGAATTACACAGTTGCGGTAAAAATTTCATACAAAACATGACTTGCCTAAAAGAGTAATTTTGCCAACATGGGGGAGGGGGTGGTTCCCTCGGCGCCCGGTTTGTCCAAGTCTCGCGAGCCCCGAACTAGAACCTACAACCCCTCTCATCCGGAAACACTACCATCTTATCTAAGATCAGATTTCTTCTCCACAGAGGCAAATACGGCTCCCTTGTCAAGAAATTCTGGACCTGGTCCCGTGGCGTAGAACCACTTGAAATCCCATCATAAAAGTGTTTAAAATGCACACCCATAGAGCGAGTTTTTTATGAGTTATTTTTTAGTTATTTTGTTTCATTTTTTAGTTATTTTTTGTTTATTTTATGAGTGTTATAAAAAAATAGCGAAGTCAGTGGAAGGGCTAACCTGAGCGTACACCACATCACCAATTTTCAAATCAGGTCGATTGCGTTTTGTCGCTCCTTCGAACGCCAAAAATGATATCTAAAATGATGATCTGCTCCTATCTTTCAGCAGGAAATACTAAGCAACAAGAACTGGCAATACAAATGTAATAAATACCCCACTGTTTGAGCAATTTCTCATGAAATAAAAGAAAGAGAAAGCAGATACTGACAGGAAGTATATAAGACCTGCATGGAACTCTCTTTTCTTGAAATGAGAGTCTCTCTCCTTGCATGCTTAGATTCAACCTGCATCGCCAGATGCCTCGCTTTCTTCTATGAGTGATCACACACAATGGCATTATTATCGAGATAATTCAAGTATCATACCGTCGCATTCTCGGGCGTTCCAATTTCAAGCTTGTAAAAGTCGCTGCGGATCCAGTCACAATTCCAATTATTCGATCCCCCTTCTCAGCAACGTACCTGCCAATTATCTACTTTTCATTGGTCAATTCGGTTGGGAAAATTTTTGAGTTGTAGATGTAGCCGTTAATGGTAAATACCTTTTGGAATGTACACTTATCCAACACTTCTCTCCTTCATGCTTGAAGATTCCCGGCTGTCGAGCAACCAAAATATCCGAGTTGGGATCACGACCTATTCCGTAGCTGGAATATTATGAGCATATAATCCATAGAAAGACTTACAAGGAATCACCTCATCATTTAGTATCACTCTGGAAATTGTTAGTATATAGAGGTAAACATACCCAATGATCTTTGTATTTTCTTTTGGTATTCGTGTACTTAGGTCTTCTCCAGGCAGACAAACCAAGGACATGGCGACTTTAATGACCAAGCACTCTTCACAAAACACAAGCCGCTGCGCCGAGCTGTACCGCTATATCCGTTGTGCTTTCCGCAGCGCACAGCCCGCGCTTGAGATGACGACTCATTGACGAGAAATGGGCCGAATGCTGAACTTGCCGTATCCTTAGTGCTTCAAAGGTCTGAGCGAGTTCACGCTTCAGCCATTTTAGACAGTTAACGACTTCGAATAGCTTACCAGCTTTCTGTAAGGTTTGTGGAAGTTGTGGGTTTGAATGTACTATATCACAAGTCTTCCTGGTAATAAATATGACTCCTACTATTGGCGCTAGCGCGCTATGGAAGCTCTAATCTTCAACACAAGAATTTTGTCATCGCGGGGAATCAAACCTTGGACCATTTCCTCATGGCTTCCAACGAGCGGCCCAAAGACCAAAGTTGAATCTTGTTTGTGGTCCACGCATGAGTTCCTGTGATGCACAAACCGTTTCCAAAAGGGCTTTACACCTTGAAAGACCTTCCTTGTTAGTGTCCTGATCACGAAAACGACATTCTTTTCGGTTTCATGACCGTTTGGCTCGGTTTGGTACCATTTCGTACCAATTTGGTATCAGCTTAGCACCAGATTGGCGCCAATATCCTCTAGCTCCAAAAGTAATCGTTGTATTCTTCAGATTACTGGATTAAAACTTATAGAATTTTTCCAACGATTTTTGCGGAGTAAACATTTGGTCTCGAAAGTCACCAGCCCACCAATGCTAAGCATTGAATACCCTTTGAACGTAAAGTTTTCACGAAATTTTTTTTGGCAATCTGTAAGAACTTCGTATAGCATACATTAAGGCAAGAAAAGCATGATGATCGTTAAGCTCAGTTTCGATCTGTTTCGATGGCGTACCACTCAGCGCTTGATTACGGTAGAGAAGACAGAAGTTGGCACGCTGTGCAAACTATGATGAGTGCTCTATTGAAGCAACAATCCTAGATCAAATTGGCGGGTAGCAGCGGTCCGGTCACTAATGAAATTGTGGACGCCGAGTGGACTGAAAATGACAAAAGAAGCGAAGCAAACCACGGAGGAAGCTCTTGAACAAGGACTCCCCCTCTTCCTCCCTGAACTAAGGATGGACGCGTTTATAAACCAAGATGGGTTGACTGAACTTACCTGCTCCATGGCTCCTCTAACACATGCGTATTTGAATTAGATGCTCCTCGTAATCAACCTTTTGGGTCATGAAGTGTGCACGAGGTATCTCGTCCATAAACTCACATTAGCCGTCAGTAGATGGGTGAATAAAGCCGGTATCGGACTTTGCGAAATCCAGTGGTTCGCTAGTAGCGTTGAGTAGAGTTCTGAACAATACTTTTGAAATTGATTGGATCTGGAATAGCCCCGTTGGTCCGCTTTTTATCCTCAGGCATTGCCGGGCTATTCTCCAGAAACGCAAGTTTTTATCATACTCACTTGTCACAACTCTCTTACTTTCAATGATGTGGGCAAAGGTGAACACCTAGCCCAGATACAAGCTTTGTGCATAACAACCGGTGAGTGGCACACATGTGTTCTTTCGAGAAATCTTCTTTTAAGCTTTCAAAAGCCTATTCGCCCAAGTGATCGCTGCTTCCTTTACATAAGTATGATCCCTGTAGAGCAATATTTGTGCCTATGATGGTCAACTTGTACCGTTACCGAAACTGTTCGGTTCTGGAATCGCAACGTTCTGCGGTTAAGCCGTGAAAAGCACTGGAAAGTTATACCCGATTTCGTCGGACTAGCAACCAGCTACGATCCTCCCGCGCTTAACATCCATACGCGCCCCGACGCTTTGCTTTTTCACAATCATCCTAGCTTCTCCCAATAATTCCCCTAAACTATGCAGTTTATTTCGGAGAATAAAAAAAAAAAAAAACAAGCTCTGCATGCTTAGTTTGGACTATGAAAAATGCCAAGTCATCAAAAAAAATCCAGCCAGAATCGTTAGATTATGACGCGCATTCGCGTCACGCTGTATTCAACGTTTTGTGGACCAGCTCAGGCCCAAGACAAATGCGAGCCTTGATCGCATCTGTCTAGCCATTCCACATTTTCCTTGCAGTAGCGGCCAGCGACTTTTTTTTTCGCACATTTAGGTCTCTTGCAGCGTCAGCCATCCTCTGCGCACTCACATTCAATGAAGATTTCCATGACTGGGACGGACGTTGACTCCTGCGCACACGACCCCCCCCCCCTCCACCTTCCTTCGGCCGTGTACGAATCTCTCGCTGGGCTTTGACGGACGGATGGTTGACCTACCCCCCCCCTTCCTTTAAACCACCGATTTATCGCAATAACCGCCATATTCGGGTATAACTTATTCCAAAAAATAAAAAAGAAGCTGCACGACAATCTTTCATACATTATTTATTTTTCCAGTTTTTGGATAAACATTCTTCATTTTCTCTTTCAAATAACAAAGATATCATACAGACACATACGTAGAATCTAAAACACATTTCCGCCGGTCAAACAAAACCTGAATAGCTCGAATCGAAATGAAAACATTGAAACACATTCGCCCAAGGCGACAACATCTTCCTATACAATCGATTTGCAATCAACATTTGTTTTAAACAACGCCGGCAACAATCAATACAACATCATCACCACAGATACGCTACTGTTTTGACGAAAGTTCATGTGGGTACCGACCTACTTCCCATAACTCAAGTTGGGGTGATAATAAAGGTGAGAAAAACTCCTAAATGGTAATCTATTCTTAGAAGACTTCCCCACTTAATTCTGGATCGTCAACACATTTGGCCGGAAAGGTGGCGATAAATGAAAGGGCGTATTAACAACGTAAAGACTGATTCAGATCTGTTCAGAATCAAGAAAGACTTAAGACGCTTAAAAAAGGAGAATATCCTCAACCCGCATGAACTTTCTTCTCCACCTGATATACTTCACTAACAAAATGACTAATCGGGTTATAGCGTAAACTTAAAAATTAACGAATGCCTAATATAGATGACGAACTTAAACAACAGACCACAAACAAAATGGTGCAGCAAACCTCTTCAGAAAACAGTAACGTTTAATTTGGAAAGAAAAAAAAACAAAAAAAAATCCAGAGCTAACTATTCTTACGCGTAACGAAGAAGGAGATCTCTTCTGTCGAAAGCAAGATTAGCATGAATGAAAAACAGAGCTTGTTTATGGACAGCTTAGAGCTAAATAACCTATGCATGCAAGAAATAAATCGGTGAGGAGACGCAATGAAGCGCAGCCAAGTTGGCTGACGCTCATGCACAACTTACGGGACACCCTGTACATCAATATACAGAGTGAAAGACTTGCAACATTTCATGTGAGGTTTTTAGAAAGGATTCCAGCAGAAGTTACTTGATAAACGAATATGCATTATCCCCGAATGAATCTGTGAGTAATACCTGGACGTAGTTTGGAAGGTTAGTAATGATAGTATTAGAATAATTCTCACTACTAGACAAGTGGTACACTTGACTTTTCTGTGAGAAACTCGAAAAATGACTAGAAAAATGACACGTCCGGATACTTCTTCGAAATTTCCATAGTGAATGGATGTGGCTGCATCAAATTGAACGTCTCTATTGTGACCAACGTCTCACGTTTGAATGCCGCTACTTTCTGAAACAACCAGATCAAACAATAAAAAAAACCGGTTGAGAGTGAATTCCTTCCTATACACTTTCAAATTATCCTTCCAAATTATTACATCAAATGTGGGGAAGAAGCTGAGTTGGGATGAAATGGTGCCCCGGTAGCGTAACTGGTAGCGCACTTGCCCGGAAAGCGAGAGGTGCGGGTTCGAGTCCCGTCCTGGGGCGAAAGTTTTGTTCACAACCCAGCATTCTTGTGAAATTACCAACTATGCCTCAATACGAAAGTTAAGGTGAGCGATTGGCAACTACATCACCGCCGCTTGACCGACGACGTCATACTCATGACTCCGCAAGACGTAATGAAATCAGTGATCTCCTGGGCAGCAATTAGGCACAACTATTGAAAATTTCAAAGAAAAACGATAGGTAGAAGTAAACATGATGATATTGGCCAAATTGGAGCGGATTTATTATTAGAGGGTGCTTACCTGTACGTTACTTATCCTTAACAAGATTTCAGCAAATCGAGAGGCACTTTCTGACTGGTCCTTAAACTTTTTATCCAGATGAGACCGTAAGGAGTCGAGAAGGCGACGTCGTTTAGCAGCTATCAATTGTTGTGCTCCCTCAGACAAAGACAAACACTCTGAAACCAGATGATCTAAACAGATATTCTCTCAGTATAGAACTACGAAGGAATTTTCCGAAAAGTTGAACTCACCAGGATCATAAAAAAGGACAGCTTGGAGCAGTAAATACTCTATTTTGGTCATCTTCATCCGACGAATGGGAACCAAAATATTGTTAATGACTGCGACAACAGTCGGGATCAGTCCACTACGCTCTTTCAAGGCGTTCGCCGACGGGCTTCGGAACCTGAAATGTCGATCTGGTGATATGAAGAATGACAACATTCAGAGGTCGAAAATTTCTGTCAACCGTAGCAGCAATAGCCCCACCCCTAACTAACCCTAAGCACTGAACATTTTATCTTCGGTGTTTTTTTTTTCGATTGAAATTCGTCTTACTCCTCGAGAACATCATTCTCTGAGTTATCTCCCAATTCACTAACCCGCCCTCTCTCAGTACTACCAGAGCGAGGCCTTAGTCAGACTTTGCGATTTGCTAGTAGCGAATCGTTTGATTTGCAAAATCTGACATCGGCCGTTGCAAGAAGAAAGAAATTGGATAGTTTCTGAGATTCGAGACAGTGGAATAGTGCCATAATGCTTACGAAAAATTAATTATACAACTCCGAATTTCAAAAACCGTCACGAACTCACCCACTAAGGCCATCGGGGAAAACAATACGGTCAGTATATTTTTCTGGGGTATTGAAGGCTTCGGCTAGCACAAGGTTGGAGAACGATGAATGCACTATAAGCCGCATTTGATCGTCAAGAGCTAGACGACTGAACACCTGAACAAAGGGAGGTGAGAGATTAACAGTGTACAAATACGAATGAATTGATGATTTCTTTGGAATTACCTCAAAAGATTTTGCCCATTCGACTATCACCGACAGGATTTTTGCACGCCAGTAGGAGAAATTCGTGGAATAACCGACAGGCATCGGAGTCGCAGCATACTGGAATAATAAGGAGTAAATATGACAGTAAGGGCCCTAAACTATAAGTTTTGATGGGATTTTCTCTAAATTATTTATTGAACTGTAGCGGTACAGAAGTTACGCTTGAGGGAGTATTCATGAACCAAAACGAACCCGAAAGAGCATTCGTTGATTACAATGAGTACTGATATCTAAAAAATCAGCCTGGGATGTGCAGTCACCTTCGCTGAAGCTGCCGCGACTTATGACTTTACGGCCTGATGGTGACCATGTGCACGAGGTAATTTAAAGAAATTTAACGGCAAGCAATTGCCTCTTTCATATTAGTCAAAAAAACAGTACAGAAAAGCTCTACTGAACTCATTTGGAGCCAAAAAGCTCGCGTAAGCTGGTGCTGTTGCCAAAAACACCACCTTCCATGAGCTCTTTACGCATTGAGATAGACCGCTATTAGCTATTTTTGCCGCATGGAACAGGCGCGATATCGCGAGCGCGGCCCGTGACATGACTAAACCACATGTCCCATGCGGCGTCCAGTGTGACCCAATAGCGAACCACGTGGCCACTTGGCTGTCAGCGACACTTTCGCCAAAACATGCCCTATCACAGTTGTTTCGAAGAAGTTTTTCTTCATACTACACACGGAAAGCTCTCTCGCTGGACACAGACGTGCACCGCGAGAACCCGACAGACAAAGGGATTAAACTGAAGGTAAATGACTTAGCTTATGGAAAGAGTAGTACTTCAGTCTCTTTGATTTGGAAACATTAATTTTTTCAAAGGCACGCTCCGGGATTGGGCGCGCTCGCCTGTTCCATCCCGGGGGTAGTAGACGGGCAAGCGTTGATGTCGCGCCCCTTTTGCGGCTTGAAAGTGCGCGACAAAGGCGCAAGGAGCTCGTCCGACCCGCAACTCACACCTTCGTCCGCAAGCCCCACCCTCCGCTGTCGGTTGCCACGTGGCGCTGCTTGAAAAGCGCGGGCGCATTTGAGGCAGCGGTCCCATTGCGACCCAATGTCATTGGCACTGGAGCAACTAGAAACTTCGTCCAACGCGCCCCTTTTCTATCCCAAGCTGGAATGGGATTGAGAATAGTGGAATTCTCCTATGGCTGGGGCGTAATCGGTTAAGCTGTTCGTTTGCTTTCCTTCTCCTTCCTTCTCTTTCAGACATCTCACCTCTACTTCAATACCTAACGCTTTCCCACACCTATACTTACTCTCAAAGCTCTCGCCTTTAAATGAAGTGACATGCCCAGATTACCCGTTTTCGACTATTCGTTGAATTTTAGCTTATGTAAATACCGCCACTTATCAAATGCTTCATCGCTAAAAGAGTGTGAAATTGGCCTACAAGTATAACGACAATAACATTGATACTAAAAATATGTCATATTTTTCAAAGAAGCAAAATTTGAACCACTTGCCAGATGCAATGTATCCTCGCGCACTGCTCCGTAGGCTGCACAGTTTAAAAGAAATAGTGCCCTCATCAAAAAAAAAAAAAACCAATTATTTCATATTAATCAAATTTATTTTTAATTTTTCGGATCATTTGCCAAAAAGGAGTCATTTGGAGGAGACCATCAAACTGACTCTAAACTTTCTTCGAATTTGATTGAAGACACATGTGTACACTAGAAGCAGAAAAAAGCATTGTAGGGTCCTTTTCGGGTGCACCATTCTACTTCGATTTAGAACCGTAGTAACATTTTAAAAGTGATTTGGCCTATACAATGATTTGCCGGGCCGGCAGACGTACATGACATTCGCAAACAAATTTGATTACAGCTCGCCAAACCCGGATGGGAAGGCGTTGACCTGAAAGGTCGGTCCAAGATTTGACTCCAGAGCATTGCGCGGTAGCGGCCACCGTACCCAAATCACCACTTTCGCCTCAATTATGCTAATTATTTAGTGGATCTACAAAAGAAAGACGTACAATCACTCACATAAATTATTGACTAGGATCAACGGACGAAGTGATGAATAGAGCGGGGCGTCAATGTGAACCAAATACTTCAAAAAAACAAGCATAATTAGTCAAATATTCAAAAACCATAACAGCCACAAAAAATCACCAAAATAAGAGAACACATGACTCTGTCAGGTAGACCAAAGCGTAATTTTTTTCCTACAATTGAAGTCTCACTTGATTAGTAAAAACCTTCTTAAAGCGTGCGCCCCGCACCCGACATTCATTCGCAGTTACAGAAGCTTTTGGATGCGTACCGTAGTTTATACAATGTACTGCAGGGAGAGCTGCCGACCAAGGCAGTATGGATTTGATTCAATGTGAATGCAAGATTTTGACCAACCAAATGCACCAGGGGAAGAGCCTAAGATTGGTCCCACTTAAGCGGTAATCGACCGCAAAGGCTTAATTGATGATATTCACTTCATCTGTTGCCCCACCCATCCTTATAAATAACATATAGTTTCCTTCTCTATCCAGAAACGTTTTGAACTCATTGTAAACTTCAAATTAACGGTCACGTACTTTGTTTCCTTGTCAATAAGCAATTCTATCAGTGGATCGGTGATTTCAACTTCGGTAATATCATCACCATGCTCGGTATCTCGACGTGTTTTCCGTTTACGCCTACGTTCCACATTCAGTTCTGAAACAACATTTATTTCATGAAATGGAAAAGAAAATAAATAAACGCGACTCGAAAACATCTAATATTATGTGGTCTGTGGTCAGTTACTGCATAGGCTGCACCCATAATAGAAACTATAAACATTCTTCTCGTGCATGATCTCTCCACCTCATCTTCCCTTGTCATTGTGAAGAATATTCTAAACTTGATCAAAGAGAAGTCTGATATTTGAACGTCCATGAACTAGAAGTAGACATTCTAGGATGAAGGGTTCGTTGAGGGAACAGAGTAGATTGGATAGACAACGTTAGAAGGCTCATTTTAAGTCAACACAGAGATGACCTCAAAGGTACAACCCAGGCAGAAGTCGGGCGAAGGGCCCCTTTGGTTTGTAGGGTAGACCTTAGAGGACAATCACAGATGTGGCATTCCCGTGCACGGAAACAACCGACAAGAGCGCTTGGGCCTTGCAAAGTAAGCTGCTGAGCTGCAGATTTTTTTCTTTATCAGGCTGTTGTCTGGCGCCCTCTCATCTGTAGCGCTCTCGCCTCATACTCTCCTCTCCGCGCTTAGTCTCTCATTCCCTTAGCACAGCCGATTAGGAAGGTGAGTGAGCCCTTAACCTAAGCGTTTTCGACGGATTCTTTTCCTTTTTTCTCTTGCAATGTGGGACCGACAGACTCACTAGGCTCCCTAACTCACTAGGCAAGTGTCCAATTGGCGTCCACTTTCGCAGCTTGACATTCGGCATGAGTCTGCTCCTAGCATAAACTCTTTGACTTTGTTCAAGGATCCTTGAGCAGATGTGGAACACAAATATTAGAACTGGGCACGAAAGCGCATCAGTAATAAATTCCACGGTCTCATCCTTTGATGAATTCCAGCTACCCTCTCCTATCGCTCTCCGCTCAATCCTTTGTATAGCACCCTAAAAAATATTACGTAGCATGGACAGTGGCTGCATTCACATCGCCTAAGCCCCTCGAGGCACGGCAGGGTCAACCGTCACGTTCGAACATTTTCGGGATTTTTGCGACCCCCTCCCTCTCGAGAGGGTCCAGTTTGCGACCCCTCCCAACACACAGTTGCGACCCCCCAATACAACCAGCCTTCCTCCACCGCGACCTCTCCCTCTTCTATAGTATTTGATTCTGAGACCAGTTGACACAGCCCAAAACCTACCTAAAACTCCGAAACTCCACCCACTTTTCCCCAAAAACAGCCGTCGAGCGGGGGGGGGGTATACAACCAGTGAAACGGCAACTTTTTCGCACACCACTATGCTCTGCGCCCCTGATCACCAAATGCCGCATGCGCCCCTCTCCCCTACCCACCAAACACAATGCGGTGAGTGAAATTCCGCTTAGCCCGCTGGCTGTGCCTCTCATACACTGCTCTCACATATTTCCTGTCGTCTCCGCAGTGCCTGCACCATCAGTATATCAGTTTGACTTCAGAAGACTTTTTTTCTTATTCCTATCAACGATTTTTATTTTTTTTTTTTTTTTTTTTTTTTTTTTTTTTTTTTTGTTTTTCTACGAATCCTTTTCATTTACTTAGTGACGCTCCTCTTCAGCACTTCAAAGGTTCATTTTCGAGCGATAACACACCAATCCACTGCCAAGCACCCGTGCCCTTAGATTGTGTAACGCATAGGGTCGATGCTTTGATATGGCCGATTTATTCTCTAAGGAAATGAGGGGAAAACAAGGAGCGTCTTTACTCATCAAACTTCGTCGTTTGTCTTTTATTTGACCAAATGAAACGTAAACACACCTACCACTTCGATCCATCCCAACCCTTATACACTTTTTGAATCGACAATGCCGGCACGAACATCGCATATTCTTGTCGATAATACAATCACCGTTGTTTTTGCAGGAATATGTTCGATTCTGAAATTGCAGTGGACAATAGAATCGCATTAAAAGAGTAACTAGTAGAGTATGTAATCCCGCTCTGATTGTAATGCACTTGAAAACGCCTGATTCATTTAAAATCAATCTTTAAGAGCCACAACGTTTTGAATATTTACAATAGATGAGTAAACAAAAGATCTACAGATCCTGTACGATTAGTGAGAAGGACACACATGACAACGCCAAGGTTTCTTTGCCTTCAGTGAACCAACTGACTGATAGAATGAAAATCTCTAGTACCTCCAGAACCACTCTCCTGAAGAACGTCTTGCAGCCATTACATGCCGCTACCGCATAATGAATTCCGGATGCCGCATCTCCACATACCACACACGGATCTCCTTAACGGCATATTTTTAGTGAATGGAGAAGTAAATAGAAACAAAATATCTCAATAGAAAAACTTTAAAAAGGAAAGTTTCTAAGCAGCAACGTTGGCAGAAAGCACTTATAGACGTAACTGCTATAGCAATGTAAAAAGATCAAGAGATATCGAAGATTCTAGCAAAACCCTCATTTTTATTAAAAGCACAACCCAGGCAGAAGTCGTGTGGATGGTTCTCCTCCGTCTATAGGATAGACCCCTAGAGGAAATCACAGATGTGGTAATCCCGTGTAAGAAAGCGCTAGGGCCTTGCAAAGTAAGCTGCAGCAGCTGCAACTTTTTTCTTTTATCAGGCTTGTCTGGCGCCCTCTCATCTGTTGCGCTCTCTCGCCTCATACTCTCCTCTCCACGCTTAGTCTCTCATTGCCTTAGCACAGCCTACTAAGGTGAATAACCCTTGGCCTGAGCAACTCGATCCCCTCTACCTCAGTGAGATTCGTGAATGGAGGCACCCACAAATACGATTCCCTCCCTCACCACGCTCCACCAGCACCTCACTACCACGACCGTTTCAAAGTGTTTGTTTCTAGAACCAATCGACATACTCCAACTGTGTTACCAATTCTGTTCAAAATTACCATCGAGCGGGTGGTAGAAGATTGGGGTAAATGTGACTAAGAACAGCTAATGCTCCAATGTAGCCTATTCATGCATTTTGTATGACAAATCCCTAAAAAATATTAAAATAACTCTCTCTCTCCCACCACTGCGACTTCTCCACCTTCCTCAAATACTAAACCCCACGTCCTGAAAATTGCAATTACGACTCCACGTTTGAACTGCTCATATAAAGTCTATTCTTGACCCAAATCCTCTTCGACATCGCTCAACGATTTCGAGACCAGTCTCCTCGCCTCACCCTCAACTAATCATCTCCAAAAAATTTTCCCCAATTCTGATTACCACCTAAAAGTCGCGCTCCTTCACTCTCGTATCTCCTCTTTCAAAATCTTTTCAATGATAATGACTAGAACTGTTCGGGTTGATACACATTTGGCTTGAAATCCTTTAGGGAGCAAGTGGATGTGACGATGCACGCGTTGCTACATAGCTTTCACAGCAATTTCCAACTCCTACCTACCGTGGGTTCCTGACCCAAAAAAGGCTAGAAGTTTGTGAAGCACGCCATCATGCAATCTTATTGTATCAAATAGTCTACAGTCTCAGGTTTCGCTTGTCGAGATCACAGCCCTAATGAGGAAAGATCTTTTTTCTTAGTGAGACTCAATTTAGAAACTTCAAAACAAAAACATCATGTCAAACCTGGCGTGAATCGTTTTGATGAGTCATTTCGAGAGTGAATACTCTGAGTATGTCGTGAGCCATTGGAGTTTCTCGAATTACACTGGCTAGTATCGTCGTCATCTCGCAAGTGCATAATCTGAAAATTGTTATCATAGTCATGCGGCTCACGTTGCTAAGCTGAAAGAAGTTGAACAAACATCGGAAAAGAAATGATCGCGAGGAATCCGCAGAGTTAAACCCCACGCGAAAAGCGCTTGCCTATTCCACTGGTGCCGACCACACCACTCTTCGCTCAAATAGCACTTGTACAATTACCATAACTAATAAGAGTTCATCCCAAAAAGGGATTGATCAACGGCAAACGCTTTACCTTTATCGTTTGATTAGAGTTCAAACTTCTAACGAGATGAGTAAGGGCCCTAGCCGATCCCAGCAAAGAACGTTACAGTGAATGCTTCGACACAGAAATATTTATTTGTTTATTTTATTTATTTATTTGTTTCCTTTTTCGACCAACAAATGGAAACGAGCTTACCCGCTCACGAAAGTCATCAGGAAAGCTTACGTAAAGAGTTACGAGGTGAACGACTGTAGGAATTACACTGAACTCTTGAATAAGTAGAATGACTTCAAAACTTGTCGGATCGACGCGCGATGGAACCCAAAGCGCTTGATGAACAGTTTATCTGGTAAGAACATGTCGTGAGATAAATGGTGAGGTACTGCAACGTCGTTCGAAATGCAAACTGAGAGACGTCTTGCAAAATATGAGTCACATGTCTGTAGAAAGCTATAAGAATTGAAAAATACACGCAGTTGGTTTTTCCATCCAGCATACTACACATAGATGGCAATGTTTACTTGACACGTCTGTCGGCCGACACAGGACATACACCACGTTTGAGACAGCCGATGCAATGACAAGACTTTTATCCTTCTATTATATAAAGCGCTAACTTTGTGTGTCGGTTTGTGTATCTGTATGTGTGTGTGTGTGTGTGTGTGTGTGTATGTATGTGTGTCCGTCCGCAAAATGAAGTGAGTGAGAAGGAAGCTCATGGGATAAACAAACCGCTAACAAATCGGGTAGCTTACAGGATTTGAGATATCAATGTTTTGTAGCAGGATAGTTGTGATAACACTCTTAGGGCTATATAAACACCTGCTTAGCACACTTCCGTTCATTCCACATGGTGCTGCAGTGGCAGCTGGAGGGCAGTGGAGAGAGGAAGGGAGGATGAGGAGGGAAGCGAAAAATCTACCGTCATATCATGATTGTGTCCCTTCTACTGTATGAAACACCATTGTGTTGCATACGCGTCACTTCCAGAGGTGTTGGTGTCACAGGAGGAAGGGACCATAGCGGAGGATAGAAAGCTTGCGCAGGAAAGGAAGGTCCCGGCGGTTGACGGGGGACTAATCTGGTCATATAAATCTAGGATTTTTTCAAGCGCCATAACCCCACTGAGCCAGCCTGATAGTGCGTCTTCGTAGCTTGCCGAATAGGCGATAGGGAGGTTAGTGGTACCGAGATGAAGAAATACCAATGAGAAATGCTCAGGCTCAGAAATGGGATCCCTTCCTTGCTGTTGACTCCGGTGCTGCCTCTTCAACTCTAACGCTTTCTGTGTTCAAGATCTGCGCAGCGAGTGGTGGCGGACGTGTCACAGCGATCGTGCCGTGGGAGGTCCACACTAAGTCGCCAGGGGCATATCCTTCGCTGCAAATTGTGTGTCGGTCCCGCCCTCCTCTCCCCCCCCCACCCCTTAGAGGGTCCGCCTGTTTTTCCATTAGGTAAGTTTTCCCTTCTTCGACCTTCGACCTTATCATGAATCCCTTTTGCCACTGAGCCATTTTAAAGGAGGAATTCACGATTAGAATGAAGGTCGAAGAAAGGGAAACTGACCTAGTTGAGGGACCCACGGACCTCCTGAGGGTGCGAACTGACGCGCAATTCGCATGGAAAAAATTTGACCTCGGCGACCTATCATGCCTCAAAGCTGGCGGGTCCGGCGATCTCCGCCCACCGATCATCTGATCACTCGCCGTAGTTCAATACGTGGCGAGTGATTAGATAGCTGAGAGAGCGTAGTGTTGAAGAGGGCACAGCGATGAGAGTCGCATCAATGCTCGAATCAACGGGCAAGGAAGGGGTCCCATTTCTCGGGTTCTGGGCCGTTTCTCATGGTTCTTCCTTCTTTCGTGTACCACTCACCATCCCTAGGTTAATTTGAAATGGGTTGCTTTTTCATCGTGAATTCGTCCTTTAAGTCCCATTTTTCGGATTTTTGGGCCGTTTTCTTGGTCTTACTGCCGTACCATTCGCCGCATTTATACCTTCATGTGTCATGAACATCAAAATATGGCGAGCACTACCTCGAAATGAAAAATTCGAGTGATGGTCTGCATACATCGCCAAAATATCAATAATGCTCAGAAAACAGTATAATTGATGAATGGTTTACGAATGAAGTGATCATGCAAATCACTAGTTTGAAGAAGTCGATCAGTGATTAGCACAAGCAGGTTCGCTGCGATCGGACAGTTTTTTGTGTAAGGTTCCCATTCGCTGAACACCGTACACAGTGTTTACGTGCCAACGCCTCAGTTCGGGTTTCCTATGCAATACAGTGGCTCAAAAATCGCTATCCTAGGACGACATCTCTAACCATTCGAAAACATGAAGTAAATGGGAAGTTCACCCCACCCCCATTGATGAAATTCGTAATTTTCACTAGGTCAGCACAGTTTGGAAAACAACAAAGTGCATTCATATATACGCGACTGCCTCAAAAGTGTCAATCCTTCGAAATATTTTATTCCTATGAAGAGCGCTAAAATCAGGGTTTACCGTGCGTTGTGCCATTTTCGAAATTTTTACAGCCCTCCTCCTTAGGGGTTCTCAGTACGAACCACAGCTAACTATGTAAATATTTGCGTGCATTTATGCATTTTTGTTCAATAAAAATGATTTCCCTAAGCTATGCTTGAGGCTACGTCGTGCCGGACTATGTCCCTCTCACAATCAGACTACGGGAACGATTGCGGCATGAACTTCGAACAAACCTATTTTCCTTCAGATTTAACACTTTCAATAGCACAGGCTCTGCTGTAAATGCTCACACTTTCACGTGTAACTACCCGAATTTTCCCAAAACATTCAAAATCCCTTCTGTTATGAAGGGAAAATGTAAACCTAGAAGGGTAAGTAAGGTCAACTCTTCGTTCAGAGGGGTACGAAATCCTTCGAATGTGGCCTCACGGAGCCGTAAACAAGAATTCGAAGATTTAATTCTCAGTCCGAATTTTGAATCCTGTAACCTACCTTTGCTTTAAAGTTGCCCCCGTCAAGCTTTCTAGTGCTTATTAACATTTTCAACCTTCGCGATCTAATGAATTCTTTAAAAAATGCACATACTCAAAATTGTCGCGGAGTAGGAATTGCAACACAATTTTTACCGAATAAAGAACGAACGTGCCCATGAGCAACACCATCTCGTTCTTTGGTGTTTGGTGGGAAGGAATATTTCGAAATAAAAGCAAAAATTCTTAGGAACATTGTATAGCAAAAACGTAACGCCTTGAATAGTTTCAACCTTCCCACGCTCACATTGGAAGTCGTATACTGACGTCACCCGTCTGCCCATGAATCTATCTGCGACTTCCTGAGTGACTCTAGAATACGTACGTCCACGACTAAAGATGGGATCTATGTTTTTCTTAAGGCAATTCTATCTTATTATGATTGTAGCGTTCCTGTGCAGTATCTGAGCTATACAATGGAAGTTTTCGAGAATGTGTTCCTTCGCACCTAGCTGATCGTAAGAGGGGGAAGAATCCCGAAAAAAATCAAAAGCTGCAACTCACAGTTTAAATCTTTTCATGTCTGTGAAAAGCCTCAGTATCCCCAAAAAGCAAAGAGCTTACAAAAAAATGTCAACCAAAAACTTATTGCTCCCACTGGGAAGAGAAACGACTGCTAAACAAAATGAGAAAGAAACAACCGAGCGCAAAGGTGCTTCTCACTATCGTGCTTTCGCCGGAAAGAAAATGCTATGGAAACAAATAAGAAAATGGCCAGACGAGATGCAAATGAGGGGAGAATAAATTCCAGTCAAAATACGGAATTACTTAACGACCCAAAAGAGGAAGGAAACCCCTCGCCTTTTCGACTACAGTATCCGTGGGCTATTCAAAGCTGTTAGGCCGATGTCAGACTTTGCGAATCGCGCGATTCGCTAGCGTCTGCGGTCGCGTCGCGGCCAGTGAATCACTCAATTGGCTGGTACCGCAACGCGACCGCGGACGCTAGCGAATCGCGCGATTCGCAAAGTCTGACATCGGCCTTAGGTGGTTTTGTCCACCGATGGTTACCCACACTCTGATTGATAAATATATAAAACTGTCTAAAAGTTTACATCTAAACGTCCTCTACACTTTCACAGTACCGCTCAAAATTTGGAAATTGTTGTCAAGGTCAATCAGATTTTGTCAACGATACGCTAAAGAACACTGACCTCTACCTATGTAGATTTCAGCGAAAAACTGTGTTTATGTTACGCACCGGAAAATATTTTAGTATGGAGGAGCGACAAAAGCAAAAGCAAGATGTGTTCGAGAAGTATAGCTCCTATCGACTTTAGACACGATGCATAAAAAGGGAAGTAGAAATGCAAATAGAGCAAGCACTCCTCCATGCCTGAGCACACGCAGCACCCCGTCAACTGTAGATATTTATGGGAAAATTTTTGAGAATCTTCGGGGTTTTCGGAAATCCTAGGGGTTTTCGTAATGCATACTTCTAAAGCGCAACAGTTCTATTGTACGTTCAGCCTGACATGAGGCTTCAGAGCAGCTTAATCCCAACTTTCAAAGAAAACGCTGACAAGGGGTCTTTCAGGGCAAGCCACGCTTTTTCAAAACGGTTTCTTGCATATTGTAGGGACGCATGTAGGGAACACAAAACCATGTTTCATTTTCGCTGAACGGTTATAGCAGTACCAAAAAAGAAGCATAAGGTACTGTTAATGGTTCGATCCCCCGTGGCGACTAAATTTTGCATTTGGGTTGGCGCCTACGGTTGGTGCCAAATCGCGCTAAATCAAAATCAGATGTCAAATTCATCGTCAGGAC